TCATGTCGTGTAATCATAGTCATCTGAAATTTTGTAGTAGGCTAGTAAACTTTCTACTCCACTCCTATAAGAGTGATAGAAAAGGGGCAGAAGTGAGAAAGCCACCCAATGCCTTTAATATTTAATCACATCCTGAGCTCTCCTCACATGAGAAAAAACATTGTAATCATCTGTGTACATGCTCCCTTTTTGTCCTGACTTCTTGGACCTGGGTGCTTGAGAAGTCCACCCATTCATCATAAAATTGACTTTTTTTACACAACTCAGCCTCCTTGCTACTCATTCACATCTGCTTCTCTCCACTTGCACTTCTGTAGGGAGTGTATGTGTCTGGGTTGGGGGTAAATCCCAGGACTCTCCAGTCTACATCACTGAGACCAATTTCTAGGAAAACTGGACATTGTCTGTTTTCTTCTATTTCACGTAGGAGAAACAGAATGTCCTGGTGGTCCAGGGAAAAATGAAATAAATGGAGACAAAAGAGAACAAGGTCAGAAATCGTGCTTTATTTTACCATGCTCTAATTTTAAACTATCAATGATTTAGCAATAATTATTAAGTGCTTATCAAGTACAAGTTTTTACTAGGCTGTGGGGATGACCTAATGAAGAAGGTAACACAATTCTTGCTTTCCAGAAGCTCATAATTTAGTGCAGAGATTACCCAACTTTTTCTGTAAAGATCTAGATAGTAAACATTTTTACCTCTGTGGGCCACACAACCTCTTCCGTAACTACTCAACTCTGCCATTGTAGCATAAAAGCATCCACAGGCACTACTTAAATGATTGGGGATGTGTTCCAGTAAAGTTGTATTTATGAAAACTAAAATCTGAACTTTGTTTTTTAATCCTCACTCCAGGTTATTTTTTTCCATTGCTTTTCAGAGAGAGTGGAAAGGAGAGAGAGAGATACACATCGATTGGTTGCCTCCCTCACATACCCTGATCAGGGCTGGGGACTGAGGTTGCAACTGAGGTACATGCCTTTGGCTAGAATTGAACCCAGGAGCCTTCAGTCCGTGTGCCGACGTGACACTCTAACCACTGAGCAAAACCATCTAGGGCAAGGTTGTCAGCTTTTTAAAGTGCCAGAACAAAGTACCTTAAAACAACAGAAATTTCTTCTCACAGTTCTGGAGGCTAGAAGTCCAAAATCAAGGTGTTGCAGTGCCAGGTTTCCTTCAAAACCTCTATGGGAGGAATTTCTTTGCTGCTTCCACCTTCTAGTTATCCCAGACATTTCTTGGCTTGTGGGGGCATCACTCCAAGCTTCACCTCTAACTTCACATCGCCATCTTCCTTCTGTGTCTGTCTGTATACAAATCTTTTATTATAAGGACAACAATTATATTGGATTAGGACCCACCTTAATCCAGCATGACATCATCTTAAATTGATTACATCTGCACAACCTTATTTCCAAATAAGATCACATTCACAGATACCAAGAGTTAAGGCTTCAATGTATCTTTTTAGGGGACACATTTCAACCCATAATAGTCTGCTCTCTATTTCCCCAAAATCCATGTCCTTCCCACGTGTAAAATACATTCACCCCATCCTGACATCCTCAAAAGTCTTAATTTCAGCATCTTTATTCCAAAACTCTCATATAAATATCCTCAACTCAAAGTCCCAAATCTCATGATCTAAATTATTTAAATCAGTAGTAATAAGTGAGATTTATTGTATGAATTATCCCAAGGCAAAATTCTTCTCCATCTATGAAACTGTGAAACTAGACAGCAAGTTATGTGCTTCCAAAAACAATGGTGAGACAGACATTGGATAGACATTCCATTCCAACAGGGAGAATTAGGAAGAACAAAAGGGTTCATGGGTAACAAGTTTGAAACTCAGCAGAGAAAATCCCATTGTATTTTTTTCACTGTTTACCTTTGCAAATTTTAAATGAGCCACACAGGAGGAAAAAAGGTTGCTGGACAGAGATGCCACAGTTATAATTTGAAGTCGAGAGTAGGGATGAATTTACTAAAAGAGTAGAGTGAAAGGGAAACTTACCCTTCAGGTCTACAGGCAACATTTTTTGTTTAGACAGGTACCATTCACTTCCCTTTCTTCTGATGAAAGTAGCCTAACGTCCACTCTCCATCCCAGTCTTTCAGATGTTGCAGGCTCTACACTCGGGAGGACATGGGACTCAGGCCTGGCTAATCAGAACAGCCATGATGACATTGTCCAAGATGGCACTTGATTCAGTCAGAGCCAATGAGATGTCATTTTCAACAATGGAAAGTCCATTGAAAAAAAAGGCAAGATCTTTCTGAGCTTCAGTTAGGACTTCAGCTGGCAGCCACTTAGCTCATCTACAGAGTGGGAGGACCAAGCCAAAAGGCTGGAGAGACCCCAGTCAGGAGGGCATTATTTAGGGCCTTAAATCCAGCTGTACCTGAAGGTAGAATACTCCTGGACCATTTTGTTGTGTGAGCCAACAAATTCTATGTTTGCTTAAACCAGTTTGATGCAGGTTCTTGTTGTTGTTGTTACTACCACTTTCTTCTAAAATAATCTTGAGTGGTCTATGATCCAAGGAGAGGATCAGCATGATTATAGTGGAAAAGCCCAAGGCAGAATTGAGATATGGGTTGCTGTTCCAGCCATGACAAAGGTATCTGAATTGTGTGCTTTTTTCCCAGCCTTTCTGTGCCCCAGTCTCCTGTTGTGCAATAGTGGCTTCAATCTTCAATCCTCACAAGTTAACTTGGTACACCTTTTTATTAGTAGAGTAGCTAATATAAAAATGAAAGAACACAAGTTCAGAGCATATACAAGCTACAGCATTTTCTAAACCACAGCCTGGGATGAGTTATCTGACAGAATCTGCTACTTTGATTGTTTCCCATTGGTTGTCTGTGAATTTGGACTGCAATTTTAAAAAGCTGAACTACAACAGGCTCTCTGTGACACAAAATACCTTGTTAACTTAGCACAAGTTATTATCCATTGAGGGCACTTTTAGGCTTAAATGTTTGCATGATAAATGTTTGGGTGCTCTGGTATAAAAATTATCCTGAGCTAAAGAAAAGCTCTCAGATTTTAAATCCTTTTTTTAAAAAAATGATACAGTAAGCATGTTTGTCAAACATATTGACATATTCTCTTTTTTACAGGACACATTTGACATTTTTGTAAGGGCCTGCCACTTAGGGGTTAGGTTTGCAATGTGGGTGGCTGCCACCAGGAAACATGAGTTCCTTAAGAACCAACCAGGTACAGATAACATGATATTAATGAACATGGAATTAGAAATTGGGGGATTTTAAATAACTTTAAGTCTTTTATTAAAAAGCCAGTAGAAAAGGAAATCATAACTTACCACATATACATAATGAAATATAAATTTATAGTAAAAAAATTGTGTATATACACACGATGGTATTAACTAAATTATAATTGTTATTTATTATCATTTTCACCATCATCATTGTTTTGGCTTTTCTTCCCTACCAGGCTAAATTGAAAACAAATTTCCTTTAAAACTAAATTGTTGGGGGGGGGGACATTTAGAAGCTTTATATAGGAAGCATGCACTACTCTTGGGTTTCACTTCTGGCTCTCTGGAACTTTAGAGATTTTTTTTAGGATTTTCCAAACCCAGCAGGCAAGGTTGTTCCCCTAAGCGCAAAACATTCAGGTGAGATAAAGCTCAAAAAAAAAGCACATTTAAGAATATGTGACTGTAATTTGCCATGAAATAAAAAGGTTCATTTGGGTTCTTGTTCTTTTGTACAAGCCACACCTCTGGTATTCATGGCAAATGAATCATGCTTTAATTTGTTCACAGAAGACCACAGTCCTCAACACCCTCTGCATTCAGACAGATTTATCCAAATCATTTGGTATCCAGTTTTTTCATAAAGCTAAGGTGGAGAGGTGATATTTTGAGGAGCTGGTAGAAGGCTGCATTGCAGGATCTTTCTCCTTACTTTCCTAGGTGGTCTTTGTCCTCACACCAAGTTACCTGGCTTCATGTCCACAGAAAGGTCAGTTCTCTAGAAACCAGTCCCCTGTTGATTGTAATTCATTAGCCTCATCCACTTAGAGATCAAGAAGTGGCAGGTGTGTGGAGACAGCCAGGCAAAATGTGAGAGTTGTTTTGACAACCTCACTTTCTTTCAGTCCCTTTTCCAACTATTGGTTCTCCCCTCTCTGCCCACAATAGCGTCTCAAAATAAAAACACCTTACTTTTAACAAAACCCTTTCACTCAATGTCTGTGCACTCCTCTAAGGTACATAAGGCATCTAGTACAATTGCCTTTTTGCAGATGAGACTTTTAAGTTTGGCAAAGTAAATCCTCAAATCCTGGACAAGAACCTAACCATGACTGCAACTCTGGTGGGCATTCCATTCAATTCAAGGAGAGTGAGGCTGTCAAAGAGTCCCCCACTCTTGTCCTAACAGCACCATTCCACATGCTCCATACTAAGTCCAAAATCACAATTTCCTAATGCTTCTCCTGCCCCCAAATCTTTTCATTTCTATTTTGTTGACTGAAGTTTGGTAAAACTCTCTGACTTCAAATTTATACTGTAGATAATTATAATAACGTTCCAAGTCAAAATAGATGAAGATTTACTGATAGTTAATTTAGTTGGTTCCACACAACCATAGCTCTAACGTGAAGTCACAGCGTATATTTAATTTCAAGTATCTTTTCGAGAGGCGTTTAAGTCATCTCAAGTCAGAGATCCCTTCACGTCGGGAAAGGCCCTCAGACTTCCAAGTTGCCTCTTCCGGGTGCTTTTTGCCCCTCTTGGAAAAATTCATCGTGCAGTGTGACTCACTTCGCTCGCTCACGCCCCTCGGTGGAAGGGTAAACCTTGGCTGTTCCTGACGCCAGGCACACGGGGGCGCGAGACCGCAGTGGCTGCCGAGAAGGAGGCGAGGCGCCGCTCTTGCCCTGGGGACGCATACGTGCCCACGTCCTGAGGGCCTAGCTTTCCGACTGGAAAGTGAGGGTCTCACGTGACCGGCGTATGTCCGCTGCCTTGGAAACGCCGTGCACCGGCGCGCGCGCAGCCACAGAGCCCACGGGGGGCCTCGCAGCGCGGGAAGGGGCTGCTCCGGGATACGATGTTGTGCACCGGAAGGTTGGGAGGCCTAGCAGCCAGGGCGTCGGCTCGGCCGCCGGGGCGAGCGCGCCTGGGAGGCCTGAGAGCCGAGCTCCGGGCCCGAAGGGTCAGCACCGGTTGGTCTCCGGTGGGTGCCGCATTCAACGTGAAGCCCCAGGGCTTCCGCCTGGACCTGTTTGGCGAGCGCCGGGTGAGCGGCGCGGGCGAGGGCTCCCTTGTTTACCGGGAGGAGATGGGCAGCGAACGCAGGTTGTACAGTAGGTGGTTGGTTGCGCGCTTGGTGACCTGCTAGTCACCTCTTTGAGGGGCTGGGTTAAAGGGGGCGGGTAGGTCTTTAGTGGTTCCCTCACCAAAGTTTGGGTCCTAGGACCTGTCTCGATGTGAACCCCTTGCTCCACGTGAACTTAAAATAGTTCACCTTGGAAGTGAATTCCGCTCCTCTGGTTCCACTCTCTCACATTCAGCCCTAGCCCCTACTAAAGTTAACTTTGCTCCAGCTCGACACTTGTGCAAAAGAGGCCTCGCCCTGTGAGTTCACATCCGGTGTCAAGTATTCTTTTTGCAACGACACACATGCCTTCAGTGCTGTCATTAGTAATTGCACTGATGCCTGAAATTCCACTAACTTTTTTCAAAGCTTTGGGCTCTCTTGTTTTTCTTCTTAAAAAATCCTCTTGAGAAGAGGTTAATTTCCTATACTGCCATGGAATTGTTCACATTGACTTCTTCCTTCAGGACATTACTGATTGAATACTTGGTTTCTATTCATTTCTATATCCCCACTGCCCAGCATGATGTCTGGCTTCAGTAGTCAATAATATTTACAGAATGGCTGAATTAAAGGTGAATAGAAGGCAGGCTTGAAAGGAACTTACCTGATGCCTGTTCTAATTTGCTTTTGTGGATTTTGCCCGCTTTGGTTTCTACTTTTACTTTTGCCTGTTTTATTTCTTCATTATGCCATTTACTTTCATATAAAGTGGAGTCTGGAATATGGTTGCAATAAAGTTAATTGTGTTTTTATTTTATTTTATATCCTTCATTAGCTTTGTCTGTTTTCAAATTTTTGTATGAAATTTGCCACACCAACTTTCATTCAGGTAAATAATGTTGGTATTAACATAATTGGTGTGAGGAGAACTACCTGTAAGTTCTGAGCAGAGAGAAGTGAAGAGTAAGGTTGGTTTGGGGTGGATGAAATAGAACTAATTTTATCTTTGTTTTTCTTTTGTACCTCATGATTTTAGGTACTGAAACCAGATTTTCAAATATGTGAATTGGCTTTTGACTGGAAAAAAAAGAGGTTTATTTAGTTTTTTAATATTACCATAACTTGTAGTCTGAGATTCAGAATTCCCAAGGGTAGCATGGAGAGGTGTACATGGAAGTGGAAATAGCCTGTACTTGACCAGATGAAATCAGTATAAAGATCAAGTTTATTTTTGGTTCTGATTCTACTCTGCCCCCAACTGTCTTTATTTTTTTCAATTTCTTAGTATGGTTTGAAGAGAGGTTAATAACTTCCTTTCTTACCATGCCTGAAAATTTTACCTTGTGGTATTTCCCAAAATTGTCTTGTTAAGCATCTACAAAGTTAATTTACAAAATTCAGCATCGGCTCCATTAATTTTATTCATTCCAGTTCCCTATGTCTTACGCACTATGTTGGACAGCTGGTTAAAATGATGAAGGGTCTATTTTGTTTATCAGTTTATTTTGTTCTTTAGATTCCACATATAAGTGAGATCATATGATACTTGTTTTTCTCTGCCTGGCTTATTTCATTTAGCATAATATTCTCCAGGTCCATCCATGCTGTCCCAAAGGGTAAGAGATGCTGCTGCTTTAGAGCTGCATAGTATTCCACAGTGTAAATGTCCCACAGGTTTTTTATCCACTCGTCTACTGATGGGCAGTTGGGCTGTTTCCAGATCTTAGCTATTATAAATTGCACTTCAGTGAACATAGGGGTGCATAAATTCTTTCAGAAAGAAGAAATACACTTAAAATTTTTTTAAAAATGATGAAGGGCAGGGTTCTGCCTCTAGGAGCTCGACTTCTCAGGAGAGAAGACTTTCAAACAGATGAATTGCAATATAGAAGTATGGAGAAAGTGTGGGCTTTAGAGGTGTAGGGAGCCCATTCAAGTTCTGGTTTTCCCACACTTAGTTAATCTCGACCTTTTTCTTTACCTCTTAAGTGTCTCTCATCTACAAAAGGTGAATGGTAGTTCCTACTTTGGGATTGTGTGGTTTAAGTGAGCGACCTGTATAAAGTACATAGTACATAGTACTTGGCATGCAGTAAAATAAATGTGTGCTTTCTCCCTGCCTTCCTGAGTGCTGAAATAAGTGTGATTGAACTGGTCCAAAAAGATCATTCCCATGAGATTAGTGATTTTTGTCTTTATTAAGATATTTAAATGCTTTTGGAAACTATAAAATTTACTGCCAATTTTAGTGTGCTGTGAGATATGTATTGTCATCCCCATTGTGCTTTATGCCTAGGCTGAGAGAAAAGCAGACTAAAGTCACACAGCTACTAATGACTATAGCTAACATCTATCAAATCTAATCTGTGTGCCAAGCATTCTTAAAATGTTTTGCTTTGTTTTCTAACAGTTATTATCTCATTTAATCTTTGTAACCACTTTATTATTTAGGTTCTGTAGTAGTGATAGGGCTTGATTTTGAACCCATATCATTTTATTATATTTTATAAATTAATTAAAAATTGAAGAAAAATTACACTCTTAAAACATGGGGAAAGTGATGCCTGTGATTACAGATATTATAATTATATAATGACCAACAAAACCCAAGATTTTCTTTATGAAAATAGCATTTATACATAATACCAAAAAAATCATATTTTTAGTAATAAATTGGAAATACTCATTGAATTTCAGGGTCTTTTTGGAGTTCCTGAGCTCAGTGCCCCAGAAGGATTTCGTGTTGCACAAGAAAACGCCTTGAAAAAGACAGATTTGCTGGTGGCCCGTGTGTGTTCTGCTCCGCCTGGGCCACAGACCGTGCTCATCTTTGACGAGCTTTCTGATGCTTTGTGCAGAGTGGCCGACTTGGTAAGATTTGGTGTAAGACTTGTAATTCCCTCTCTACCAAGCTGTTAAAATGTAAAGTTTATTAGGTTTAATATTAGACTGTAAGGTTAAAAATGTCTAAACATTTTGATAACTTTTGTGTGTAATTTGTTATAGTGAAGTATGTCATTAAGAATGGGAAAAAAATGTAGGAAATGGTGATATTTAGAACTTGTTCTTTAATATGTATATTTAATAAAATATATATGTAATATGTAATAAAAGAATGATCACTCATATGGCAAAGATTTTTTTTGTATGACCAAGGTTCTTTTTTTTAATAATTTTATTTTTTAGTTACAGTTGACATATATATGTCATTAAGAATGGGAAAAATGTATAGGAAATGGTGATATTTAGAACTTTTACTTTAATGTGTATATTTAATAAAATATATATGTAGCCCGGCCGGGCGTGACTTGGCGGTTGAGCGTCAACCTAGGATCCAGGCGATCGAGCCCAGTTGTGGGCTCGATCAATGGCTCTCTCATCATTGATGTTTCTATCTCTCTCTCTCCCTCTCCTTTCCTCTCTCTGAAATCAATAAAGATATATTTAAAAAATAATAATAAAATATATACATGTAATATGTAATAAAAGAATGATCATTCATATGGCAAGGATTTTTTTGTATGACCAATGTTCTTTTTTTAAAAAAAAATTTTTTTCTTTTTCAGTTACAGTTGACATATAATATTACATTAGTTTCAGGCGTACACCCAAGTGATTAACCATTAGAAACTTATTAAGTGATCATCCCAAAAAATCTCATACCAATCTGACACCATACATAGTTATTAGAATGTTATTGGGTATCTTCCCTAGGCTATACTTTACAGCCCCATGATTACACTGTAACTACTACTTTGTACTTCTCAATCCCTTCACCTTTTTCACCCATCCCCCTAACCACCCTCCCATCTGCAAGCCATCAACGTGTTCTCTGTATCTAAGAGTCTGTTTCTGTTCTGCTTGTTCATTTATTTTGATTTTTAGATTCAGTTGTTCACAGATATGTATTTATTGCCATTTTATTCAATTTTTTATCTTTCTTCTTCTTAAAGAAGACCCTTTAACATTTCATGTAATACTGGTTTGGTGGTGATGAACTACTTTAGCTTTTTCTTTTCTGAAAAGCTCTTTATCTGATCTTCAATTCTAAATGATAGCTTTGCTCAGTAGAGTAATCTTGGTTGTAGGTCCTTGCTTTTCATCACTTTGAATATTTCTTGCTACTCCCTTCAGGCCTGCAAAGTTTCTGTTGAGAAATCAGCTGACACTTTTATGGGTGCTCCTTTATAGGTAACTAATTGCTTTTTTCTTGCTGCTTTTAAGATTCTCTGTTTGTCTTTAACCTTTTGCATTTTAATTATGATGTGTCTTGGTGTGGGCCTCTTTGGACTTATCTTCCTTGGGGCTCTATGTGCTTCCTGGATTTGTATATCTATTTCTTTCACCAAGTAAGGGAAGTTTTCTGTCATTATTTTTTCAAATAGGTTTTCAGTTTCTTGCTCCCTTTCATTTCCTTCTGGCATCCCCGTGGCGCAAATGTTGGTATGCTTGAAGTTGTCCTAGAGGCTCCTTACAATATTTTCACAAATTTTTGGATTCTTTTTTCTTTTTGCTGTTCTGATTGGGTGTTTTTTGCTTCCTTATATTCCAAATTGCTGATTTGATTCTCAGAATCCTCTACTGTTGCTGTCNNTACATTTCAGTTAGTGTATCCTTCATTTCTGACTGGCCCTTCTTTATGTTGTTGAGGTTCTCACTAAGTTGCTTGTAGTTCTTCTCACTAAGGTCCTTGAAGTTCTCACTAAGTTTCTTGAAGTTCTCGGTAAGTTTCTTGAGCATCCTTATAACCATTGTTTTGAACTCTGTACCTGGTAATTTGCTTGCTTCCATTTCATTTAGTACTTTTTCTGAACTTTTCTTCTGTTCTTTCATTTGTGACATATTTCTTTGTCTCTGCATTTTGACTGCTTCCTGTGTTTGGTTCTATGTATTAGGTAGAGCTGCTATGTCTCCTGGATTTTGTAGAGTGCCCTTGTGTAGTAGGTGTCTTGTAGGGCCCAGTGATTCAGCCTCCCCAGTCACGTGAGCTGGGCACTCCAGGTGTACCTCTGTGTAGGCTATGTGCACAGTCCTGTTGTTGAGCCTTGATTGCTGTTGGCATCACTGGGAGGGATTGAAATCCAGGCCAGTTGCTTGCAACTACAGTGGAAGAGCTGCAGTGTAGGAGCTGACCGTGTGGAGCAGGACTGGCTTCAGTAGGACTTTGGAGCTCACCAAGTCCGCCCCTTGAGTGTGTAACACTCCTGGATATACAGGGTTGTAATCTATCTTGGTTTGAAGCTGACCACTGTGTGCGCTGGCTCTGGAACCTCTCAGGAGATGCAAAGTCAACTGTTGCATGTGCCCTGCCTGGGCCCACGTGGCACGAGCTACAAAGCAATCTGTAGATGACTGCTACTTGTGGGGGGCTTGGAGGTGCCCAGGAGAGGCCAAGCTGTAAACCTTGGCAAGCTGCTGCAAGTGCTTTGCCTAGGGCCACTCATCAAGAGGTATGGGGCACACTGAGGCCAGATGCTGCTGCTTTGACAGATTTTAGGAAAGTCTGAAGCATAAACCAAGACAGGCATTCATATGGAAAAGCCACTGCAAACAGCTTGGGTGGGGCTGCAAATTGGTTAGGGTAGGATCTCAGGGAATCACCAGGGCAGGAAAACAGTGGGAGCCAGGTATGGTGCCTCCTTGTGAGCTCTCTGGCGGGAAAAGCTCATCAAAGGAACAGTGGCCTCTGCCAGCACTTTTGTCTGGGAGAAAGCTGCCCCTCCCCTCTCAAGTTCTTGCCCTGATGCCAGGCAATTTAGTTCCTCCCCATGTGTCCCTGGTTCTTTTCAAGCTGTTGCCCCAATGCTGGAGCTCCAAGGGAGTGAGTCAGAGTAAGTCCAGGCACAAATTCTTTAAGAGGAACTGCTTGGGACTCCAGTAGCCTCTGTCTTTCTTAGCCAAAAACCCTGCTGGTTTTTGCAGCCTAAAGATACGGGGACTTCTCTTCCCAGCACTGGAACCTTGGGCTGAAGGATGTGGTGTGGGGCTGGGACCCCTCTCTTCTCAGGGGTGACTGCCACAACCAAGATATCCCTCCTGATTAAAAAATGCTGTATGTGGGTTTGGGATCAGCCCAGTCCACACCTCTGCCCCTCTTGCCAGTCTCAATGTGGCTGCTTCTTTAATTCTCTAGTTGTAGGACTCCATTCGGTCAGATTTCAGATGATTCTGAATGATGGTTGTTCTGTAGTTTAGTTGTAATTCTGATGTGGTTTTCGGAAGAGGTGCGTACCGTATTTACCTATGCTGTCATCTTCCATGACCAAGATTCTTTATTTATGAAAACTTCTTCCAAAATTCTAATAGAAATTTATCTGTTTGCTTACAATACAATTAAACTCATAAAAGTCAGTTTTTATAAATCTTTTATGGAATGCATTTTGTAATTAAGAGTAAGGTTTTGATATCAAACTGATTGTGTTAAAGACATTTTTTCTTAACCTTTTGAAGTTGAAATAGAAGTGTACCTAGGTTTCTTCACCAGATACAAAATCCATTGCTGAGACAGAAGGCATGATTTTGTTAGCCCAAGAGAGTCACATCTTGATTAGTCATGTCAGTGAAGGTGACTGTAGTGGTTCACATAATGCAAAATTGTGATCACTCATGTTGCTGTCTATTTGGTATTGGACTGTATATAGCTCTTTCTTCACATTCATTTAACAGTGAGCACCCACCATGTGCCAGGCTCTGTTCTAGGCACTTGGAATGCAGTCGTGATTAAGAGAGATACAGTCTCTGATCTCATGGAGCATTGTGTTAACTTTTGAGATCTCGCTAGGCACCAGGCCATGGTAACCACTTTATTTGGATTAATTGATTTAAGCTTCTCACCATATCGGATTTTCAGATGAGGAAAGAAAAGCATTGAGAAGTTAAATGATGTGTCCAAGGTTAAGTAGCCGGTGAGATGGAGCTGGGCTTTGAGTCCAGGTAGTCTGGCTGCAGAACTCATGTTTTTACTTGCCCTCCTAGGGGTTGGCTGGCTGCTCAGGTTTGATGAAACCTTACCCGGAGAGGCTGGGAAGCCATTTAGCCTCCCCATCATTTAAAAAAGTATTTATTTTAAAAATATATACAGTAAAATTCACTTCTTCGGTGGTGATGATACAGTTCTATGAATTTAACTCATTTTTTATGTAGCCACCAGCACAATCAGAATATGAAAATATTCTATTACTCCAAAAAAGCTCCCTTTAAGAATTACACCAACCTCCCACCTCTTACCTCTGGTAACTACTGTTCTCCATCTTTATAGTTTGTCTTTTCTAAAATGTCAGGTAATTGGAATCATGTACATATGCCTTTTGAGGTTGAATTCTTTCACCCGATTTAAAACCCTCTTCATATTTTGTCCTCCCAAATTTTCATTTTCCCATACACCTGAATTGAGCAGTAACACCTTTCGGATGATCATACAATCACAATAAACTTCCTAGTTTTGAGAAAGTTCATAAAGTATCTTGAAAGGTTTTTTTTCAGGAGTGATTGAAATACGTTGTGGGCCCCTGGTGATCAGGTCTCAGTTTTAGTGGATCTTGGTTCTGTTCCTTTAGTAAGTGTATGCAAGTGCTTTGAGAGATGGAAATAATATAAGATGTGCTGTCAAAAAGGAGGTCTTGCATCTTCCCTGCTGAATTTTGTCACTAACACCTGCAAAAGAAAATGTCAGTGCTCACTATGTGTAATTAGCTGTTGGCTTTTGAGGTAAAAAATCCCAGGATTCACTCTTTAGTTGTTGTCTTAGCCTCCATCTTTTTTTTTTTTCTTCTTTTTTTTTTAAAAATAAATATTTATTGATTTCAGAGAGAGGAAAGGAGAGGGAGAGAGAGAGATAGAAACATCAGTGATGAGAGAGTCATTGATCGAGCCCGGAACCTGGACATGTGCCCTGACTGGGAATCGAACCCCAATCGCCTGGGTCCTAGGTCGACGCTCAACCGCTGAGCCACACCCGGCCGGGCTTAGCCTCCATCTTAATTAAGCAGTCAGTGTTCTAGGACTTTTTCTACCTTTTTGCTTTTGCTCTTCACTAAAAGATTTTAACTTCTCTATCCTATAGATTATCCTATTTGTGAAGGTTTTTATATTTATGAAGTGTAGTATCACATTAATATCTAATATATATGAATCTTTGGGTAAAAAAATTTCAAAGAACCTTCTTTCTTTTTGAATTTTTAAGATTTTTAACCTGCCAGTAAGCTTAATACCGTTATAAGACAATGATTTTATAAACTGTATTTTCTACCAAGAGGTCATTTTGTTTTATGTTTTTTAATACAGTTGCTATGTAACAGTATTGTTTTTCTCATCGCTATTACAAATGAGTTTTAAAATGTATTCTAGTGTTGCCTTGGCAGGTGTGTCTCAGTGGTTAGAGCATCAGCCCACACACCAAAGGGTCATGAGTTCAATTCCCAGTCAAGAGAGCATACCTGGAGTGCAGGTTTGCTCCCTGCCCCCAGTCAGGGAGTGTGCAAGAGGCAAACCATTTGATGTGTCTCTCTCATATTGATGTTTCTCTCTCTCTTTCTCTCCCTTCTTCCCTCCCTTCCACTCTTTCTGAAAAAGCAATGGGAAAAAAGTATTGTCAGGCGAAGATTAACCGAAAAAGAAAAAAAAAAGAAAGAAAAGAAAATGTATGCTAGTGTTTTAAATTTTAATATCAATTATTAATTCTGCAATGTGTAAATTGGTAATTTATACAATAAATTGTTAATTTCACATAGTTCATTTTCAGGTGCTTTCCTACTGTTATTGTTACATAAAAAGTTGTATAAAATATGGATTTAAATGTTTTTCATTAAGAACTATTTGATAATAAAATTAGGAAATTTTACTTGTGGTGATCTTATTTTGTTATACGTCTAACATGTTGTTTTCTTGGAGAATGAAAGAAAAATTATGTAGTGTTTTTTATTTTTCTGCATTTTTTTTTTGCAATGTGCAATTAACATGAAAAGTAATATCTAGTTTTACATGATTTCATTAAAACAAAAGAATCCTTTCTCAGTTTAATTCTAAGGCCACTATAGCACCTCTTCAGCAGTGGTAGCTTTCTTTGTGCCCTTTAGGCTGGGACTAGTAATTTATACTTACTAAAAGGGCTATAAAGAGAGAATGTGCCTTTGTTTTCTGCACAAAGGCTAGAATGTAGTTAAATCAGTCTTGAAACTAGTATGTGTCAATTTTTTAAAAAAAGAAAAGCCTCTAAGGGGTGTCCTCTGCTTCCAGATTAGCATGTGAGAATCATGTTATAGATGAGTTTAATCAGAAGGTCTTAGAATATGTGAACAAGTCTGCTGATTTGAACTATAGCATTAGGAAGAATTCACTTGGTATATATTTATATTAGAAGGAGAAACACTTTTCTAAAAGAAAGTTAGTAAAAATATTAAAGTCTTTGGGCTGATACAAACTTGGTACCACGGAATAACAGAATAATGTTCAGAAAGAAGCTGCTTTGCCCAACTAGTTAGGAAAATTTTAGTAATGGAAATGCATAGGGGAAGCCAAATGGCACATTTTAAAATAGGTTTTCATTTCGCCCTTAGATCTTGGAAGAAAGCTTTCCATCAAATTCCCTTTTGGTTTTGTCTTTTCTCTGTATTAGGCTGATTTTGTGAAAATTGCTCACCCTGAGCCAGCATTCAGAGAGGCGGCAGAAGAAGCTTGTAGAAGTATTGGCACCATGGTAGAAAAGTATGTTCTCTTCCCCCTTCGTTACAATATTGGGTGATGCAGTTTTGTGAATTTGTGCTCTAGGAAATGTATCCATGGGGCTTGTCCCTCCCCAGCAGGGCGGGGGATAGTGTGTGTGAATATTGCAGAACTGCCCCGGGTGATGGGCAGTAGGGAGGGCCCAGGGGGCAGGCAGCTGCTCTCACCTTCCCTGCATAAACATTGTAACCTTAGGCTAGTTATTTGTCTTCTCTGTCACATAGTTTCCTTGTCTATAAATGGGGTAATAAAATGATTTGCCTCTGAGGGATGTGATGAAAATAAAATAATAAAGTGCTCGTAAAGGTGTCAGGAACATAGCAAACCTTCAGTATTCTTATTATCATTGGTTATATTAAGTAAGGTTTTTTTTAGTATTTTAGTAGCAAGTTGGAGTTTCTAGACTATCATGTGATTCAATTGTGTAGATGGCTCTGGACCACAGGGCAAGAAGGCAACATTATCTCTACACAGTGGCCTTGCAGTCCCTGTGGATTTGGAATTAGGCACATCTAGAGAGATCCTAACACTATCTGGGAGGGCTGAGGCTATGATGAAGTGACTAATTTAAAAGTGATTTTGAGGTAAATTTAAATACTGTAAGCCATCTCTGAGAGCTCCATGTTGCTTGTGAAAATAACTTAGAGGTGGACAGTTCTATATTAAAAAACACTTAAGTACATGATGCCATGCCAGAAAGTGTCTAAAGCTACTGAGAACACTGGGCTCACCTAGCGTGAATTCACAATCAAATATTCAGGCCCTGTCAGCACAGGCAGACTTTCACAAAGCAGAATCTGGAAGGGGAGGAGGGCGAGTGTGGAGGTGGCTTCTCTAGTTCAACAAGGCTTCCCAGAGGACCTGATACTTCAGGATGCTCTGTTGCTGCTTTCCCCACTGAGCATAGTGTGGTGTCTGGGACAAGGCATGTCATTTTTGTTATTGTCATTGAAAATCAAATTGTTGAGTGGGATAAATCTTGTCCCTGCAAATTCCAGACACTGAGCATGAAGAAGGGGCTGAAAGTGGGGCCTCCTTGAGAGAAAGAGAGTATAGCCTAGGGAAAGGCCCCAAGATACGAGTCAGAGTCAAAGCTGTGGGCCACCTGCCTGAGGTGCCCTGAATGCTGTATGGTGCCCAGATTCTGTCTGGTCTAATGGACTTGGGCTCTTAACTTGTGTGCGAGTACAAAAGGGAATCCTGTTGGTAGTGAAATGATATCAAGGTTGTCTGCCCAAAGTCTTCACCTGAATAGTGTTTTATCTTTTGTTCTTCATCACACTCCTCTGCTGCCCTGAGGCCAGCCCAGGAACCCAAAAGTAAAGTCACCAAACAACTCATAGCCTTCACTAGAGCTTGATTTTCCATTCTCACTGAGCACTGTGGCTCATTCTCTTTTTTGTTCTGAGTCATATCATAACTAACTGCTTCAGTTGATCTCTGAAAAATACAATGCTTTTAGGTGCATGTGTAGAATTGACTTATTTTTCAGTAGTGTAATAAAAGCCTATAAGTAGGTGTGTTTTTTAAAATTAATGCTGGATGTAGACTAAAGTATAGACGTTATCTGAGGATCTTACGCCCTAAGACATGTGTGGGAGATTTGCTCAAAATCTGAAGAGGATACAGTTCAGGCGACCTCTAAACTGCTGCTCTTTTGATATGGACTATCTCCTTAGGTGAGGAGGAGGTAGACAACTAACCACAGTTTTATCCCAGTTTCCTTGGATGGATGCCTAGGGGTGCAAGAGGAGGTGGTGTGCCTGCTTTTGTTGAGTGTTTATTGATTAGAGGTGACTGACAAAGTTCCCTTGGTGTTCAGGGTGGCCCATGAGAGTAGTGGCAACAGAAATCCTTTGATTTATTTAAAACTGCAGGGTTTTGATTGTGACCTGACTAGAGAACCTGACCATACAAGAGTCTGAGTAGGAATTGGCAGATGGTTCATATAACCTTGCTCTTCCCTAAAGATCAGCAGGCAGGGAGTACATTGTGCCTAGAACCAGCTCACTAGCAGTGTCAGGGCTTCTTGGTATCCAAGGAAAAGGGACTCAAGACCTGAAGGTGGTACTGTGGGGTTGGGTTGAGAGCAGTACTCAGGTACGGGACAGCCAAGGGCAGGCTGACAGGCTATCTAACAATAGCTAGGGTTCATTAGTATGGGGAGTGTGTGCTGTACACACATTATCTCATTTAACCATTAAGGTGACTTGAGGTCTAACTAGCTGAGGGGTTCAAATAACTTGGTGAAGGTCACAGCATAAAATTAGGGCCTGTGTTGCAGCCTGAGTGTGTGGGTCTGAAGCCTATAGCCTTGAGTTCTCATAGTGTAGGCCTGCTGTTCTCATCTAGATGAGCAAAGGTCACCTGGGGCCTAGGGTACTCAGTTCAGAACTACAAAATCTTTTGTGTTTGTTCATGCTCCCTTCCATCCTCACTCCTCTCCTGACTCCAGAACAAATGGCTGTTGCATATTGTTAACTGGGACTGGTTCTCAATGGCAATGGGGTCAGTTAAATCACCAGTTACCACATTCCTTCCTTACCCCCTGCTCTTAGGGCTCCACCTGCTGACTGACTTTAAATTTATCATTTTACCTTCTGAAACAGTTTGTACTTCAACATTTTGCCCAACAGACTGCTTGCCAGTACACCAAATATGACTATTCCTAGTCCAAATGAGGAAACAGAACAAAACTTGAATCCTTTGGTCTCTGGCATTAGAATCTGACATCATTCTCTTGATGTAAAATCAAAGAGAAGGTATTAGAAAATCATTTAATTTTTTTTTTTTTTGTAATTTTTCTAGGTTGAACACAAATGTGGAATTATATCAAAGTCTGCAAAATTTACTAGCTGATAAAAAAATTATGGATTCCCTTGATCCAGAAACCAGGTACTCATTTCCTTGCATTCATAATGACGGTGACTATAGAGGTGAGACTGGAAGATTCTCCCTGGGTATTTCCCTACCCACAGCCCCCTGTGTCTGGAGTGTTTCTCCACAGATTTCTATATAAGACTCCTGCACTTTCTTTAGGACTCCACTCAGATGGTAATCTCCTCCAAGAACTTTGTAGGAGGTCATGTGCTTAATCCCCTTTGTTTTTCTTCTTAGTCTTAATCACTTCCAACATTAACTTGTTTGTTAATTTGTTTATCATTTTTCTACTTCACTAGACTGGAAGCTCCTTGAGAACGAGGATCTGGTTTGTTTTGTTCACTGCTGCATCCTTGCACCTACAACAATAATGGCCTATAGGAAGTTTCTAACCAATGAACAAATACCTATAAACAGTTGATAATTACACTTAGCTTCATGCTTAAAGTTCCATAATTGATACCATCAGGAGATATTAGCAAATTGATTATATTTACTGGGTAGATATCAAGAGCCTTCAAATGATTTACTGTGGTTCACTAGGTTACTTTTATTAATCTGAATTGAAAAGGCTTTTTCTAAGTTAATACATAAAAATATCTGATATAGGACTTTGGATATCATATTTCTTTGTTCAAATTTATTTATTATAAAATAGGTGTTGTAGAGTTTGTCATTAACCCACTTAGATACTATTTGTGTCATAGCACAGAGATTAACATTTTTTCTTACCTGTTTCTACTTATCTACTTTGTATTTATGGGACACTTTCTTCCTTTGACTCCTTGATTCTTCCTCCACCTGCTTCCTTCTCTCCTTTCTGTCTCCACATGTGACTTGTGACTGCAAGTGAAGCCCTACTCAACAGGGATCAGTTAGTTGATAATGGGGACTTGTGTTAACTTGGTATGTGGGTACCATGATGTATGACTAGCACAATGTGGCTGTCTTGAGGGATGCTTTCACCTGATTGTCTGGTATGCAGATGTTTATTTGGTCCTACTGTACTTCACTGATCCTATGCTAAGTATATTAGTAAAGTTAGCTGTACCATCACAATAGTGTGTCTTTATTATATAATTATATTTCCTTATTAGCAAAACAAGTAAAAGTTAAATGCCTGCTAATTTTGCCAGATTTATTCTCAGGTAGTACTGACAACAGAAAGTTATTCATAATCTGACTTAATTTTTTAAAAATTTTCATTTATTGATTTTAGAGACAGGGGAAGGGAGGGAGAGAGAGAGAAGAGGGGAGGGAGATGAGAGAGAAAGAAGTTTTTTGTTCCACTTATTTATGTGTTCACTGATTGATTCTTGTATGTGCCCTGACTGACCAAGATCCCACAACCTTGGTATATTATGATGGCATTCTAACCAACTGAGCTACCCTGACAGGGCCATAATCTAACTTTGATAAAAATTGACATTTCCATATTTAATGACTAAAAGTTGCAGTGGACTAGCAGACCATTTTAGATATAAAAAATTTGTGTTAATAGGATACAAACCACATTTTTAGATGTTACTGAAAATTCCAATAAGGTTTTCTAATCAAAACAGCCTGGTACTGGCATAAGAACAGGCATATAGATCAGTGGAACAGAACAGAGACCCCAGAAATCAATCCACATCATTATGGTCAATTAATGTGTGACAAAGGACGCAAGAACATATAATGGAGTAAGGACAGTCTCAAATGGTGTTGGGAAAATTGGACAGGTACGTGCAAAAAATGAAACTAGGTAACCAACGTGCACCATACACAAGAATAAACTCAAAATCCTAGAAGAAAATATAGGCACCTAAGTCTCAGGCATCTCATGTAGCAGAATTTTCATGTGATACATCTCCTAGGGGAAAAGAAACAAAGGAAAAAATAAACAGATGGGACTACATCAAACTAAAAAGCTTCTGCACAGCAAAAGAAACCATCACCAAATGAAAGGGGACCCCACTGTATGGGAGAACATACTTGCCAATGACACATCTGATAAGGGGTTAATTTCCAAAGTATATAAGAACTCATATAGCTCAACAAAAGGAAGATAAATTACCCAACTAAAAAATGGTACAGGACCTGAGTAGGCACTTCTTCAAAGAAGATGTACAGATGACAATAGACATGAAAAAATACTCAATGTCACTAATCATTAGAGAGATGCAAATTAAAACTACGATGAGATATCACCTCACACCTGCCAGAATGGCTACCATCAACAAATCAATAAACTGCAAGTGCTGGTGAGATGTGGAAGAAAAGGAATGCTAGTACTCTGCTAGTGGGAATGCAGACTGGTGCAACCACTATGGAAAACTGTATGGAGTTCCCTCAAAAAATTAAAAATTGAACTGCCATTTGACCCAGTGATCCCACTTCTAGGAATATATCCTAAGAAACTTGAAACACCAATCAGAAAGAATATATGCCCCCCCCCCCCATGTTCATAACAGNAAAAATAAAACCAACATATGATCCAGCAATTCCACTTCTGGGAATATATTGGAGGGAAATGAAAACACTGTGCCAAAGAGATATCTGCACCCCCATGTTCATAACAGCATTATTTACAGTAGCTAAGATCTGGAAACAGCCCAAGTGCCCATCAGTAGATGAGTGGATAAAAAAGCTGTGGTACATTTATACAATGGAATACTATACAGCTATAAAAAAGAAGGATCTTTACCCTTTGTGACAGCATGGGTGGACCTGGAGAATATTATGAAGAGTGAAATAAGACAGCCAGAGAAAGACAAGTATCACACGATCTCCTTTATAAGTGGGATCTAATGAATAAAATAAACTGACTAACAAAATATGTCCAGAGGCATGGAGGCATGGAATAGACTGACATATCCCAGGGGAGGGGCGAGGGGAAACAGGAAGAGATTAACCAAAGAACTTACATACATATATGCATAACCAAGGACATAGATAGTAGTGTCGCAAAGGCCTAGGGTGGAACAGGGACTGGGAAGAGGAGGGTAAAGGGGGCGGAAATTGGGGAAATCTGTAATGCTGTCAACAATAAAAAAATAATAATTTTAAAAAATTCCAGTAGGGTTTTTAAAATAACAAAATGACAAATGAATTGGAAAAAACAAACTGGGTAGAATACCACTGTTCTAGAAAGGAAAGGTAGCTTGGAAGTGGGAGGAAACAAGAATGTGAAGTAATAATTACTGAAATTCAGAGCACTTGTACATTCTCAAAAGTATTGGCTAGAACCCAGAAGGAACCTTTTGTATGGTGAAGTTTAAAGCAATGGCAAAACAAAGAATTATAGATTTAATAAAATATCTTGTCATAACAAGTTAGTGTGTAGAAGAAATAAATTAAATTGAGTAGGTCATCATTTTATTCTTAGATGTATTCCTTGAAATACTAGTTCTATTCAGAAGTATTCCCAGAAGGGTCTCATTGGTCAGTAAATTTGGAAATTTGGCATACTGTATTTTCCCCTCTTGGAGAAGCCCAGCCATAAAGAAACCTGTTTTACTTGGGGTTTTCCAAAACCATCAAGAGCTTTCTTGTATGTAAAGAATATAATAAACATATTCTCCAGGAAATATAATGGAGGGAAGATCTCATTCACAAGAGCAACAAGAGCTGTAATGCACCTTGGAATAAATGCAGGAAAGCAAAGCATACAGAGCCTTCACACACACATACCTGGGAAGCATGAAAGATGATATTTAAATGGAGAAACATACGGTATTTTTAGATAAGAAGAAAGTTTAGTAGTGTTCTCTACTGGTCTATAAGTTTAATGCTGTCTAATTTATATCTAAAGATTTTTTTTCTTAAAATGATTTTGATGTATTATCAGTAGATAATAAATGTGTCAGAATACGCAGAAAAAAATCTGGCAAAGTACAAAACAACTTGCATCAGATGGTAAGACATTATTAAAAATATTGTATTTGAAAGAGCATACTTATAGAATAGTCAGATCAATGAAAGAATAGATACATTTTAGACTTAGAAATATATATAAAACTGCTTATGTGATGACAGTGTCATTTTACATTAGTAGGGAAAGACTTGATTTTCAGTAAACGATGTGAGGCCAATGGATATCTATTTTGGGGGAAAAGTAGATTAATTAAAAATTTAAGCATTTTTTTTTTAAAAGAAATCATAAATGTATTGATAATCTTAGAATGTAGAAAGTCTTTTTTCTTATGATACCAAAGTCAGACCACAAAAGGAAAATTTATTTGATTATATAAAAACTGCAAATTTTCGCCCTGGCAGTGTGGCTCTGTTGGTCGGGCGTGGTCGTATGTAGGAAAAGGTTGTCTGTTCAACTCCAGGTCAGGACACATGCCCGGGCTCCAGGCTCGATCCCCAATAGGGGGCGTGCAGGAGGCAGCTGCTAGATGTTATGCGCTCACATAGATGTTTCTCTTTCTCTGCCTTCCTCTCTCTAAAAATCAATTTAAAAATCTCGCCTGGCCGCGCTTGGCTCAGTAGTTGAGCATCAACCTAGGATCCAGGGGATCAAGGTTCGATTCCCTGTCAGGACACATGGCCAGGCTGCGGGCTTGATCCGCCGTCCGGGGTGTGCAGTAGGCAGCCGATAAATGATGACTCTCTCATCATTGATGTTTCTATCTCTCTCCCTTCCTCTCTCAATAAAGATATATTTTAAAAAAATAAAAATAAATTTAAAAATCTTAAAAAAAATCTGCAAATTTTGGTATGGCAAAACTCTTTCACATTCAAAGTCGGGATACATAAATTGGACAAATGTTACTTGATAAAGGTTACATAATAAAGGGATAATGTACTTACTATGTTAAGAAGCCTTGCAAATTATTTAAAAAAGAAAAATAGTGAACCCTTTTATAGAAAAAAATGGGTAAAGGATTCTTTTTGTGAAACTCATTTTACAAAATAAGGAATAGCAGCTGATGACCATTAAACCTGTAACAGTATGTAATAACTCTGGTATTATGTAAGTAGTAGTGGCTAGAAATGTGGCCTCCAAAGTAGACTTATCTCTGTTGAATATTGGCTCATAGCTCTCCAAGAGGAAAATAAAAAAGTACTTCATAGGATTAGTATGAGGTTTAAATGTAATAATTAATGTAAAATGCTTTGTCAGTTATCTGGCACATAGTAAGTCATTCAATAATTGAGACCTACCACCGTTACAGAAAGATAGATAGAATAAAGCAAAGAGCCAGTCAGTTGACAAAGTTGAAATAGAATAAGAATCATGTTTTAATGGTTTGGGATAATAAATTATCTTTAGTTTAAAGTGTAATCTGATAAATCTTTATGGAGGACAATTTAGTAATAATACCAGTGTTCATACTTTTTTTTTTTTTTTAACTTGGGAGTGTTCATACCTTTTGATCATTTTAATTTCTTGGAGTTTATCCTAAGGAAACAAACAAGGATAAAGAGATGAATGGAACAAAGATTTTTTCATAGCGTGGTTTACAGGACTGGGGACAATGGATACGTTTTTTGGTCCATATGACAAAACACAATACAAACATTAAAAGCCATGTTTTTGAAGTATATTTAAAGATGTAGAGAAATATTCAATATTTGTGGTACAGTTTTTCAAGAAAAAGCAAGATGCAAAAATATGTAGTTGGGTCTCAATTATTCTAAATAAATTGTATAACAAAGCAAAAGTAGATTGGATAGAAGGTAAAGGAAGGTCTTCATTGTTGGTGTGAGTTGATTGCTACCGATTAAGTATCTTCATGAGACAAAGATGCTGCCTCAGCCTGTGCTCCTCAGGAAAAGGGTCCCATTGAGTTTCCCCAAGCCCCCCAGCCTACCTGGTGTGGCACCTAGGGACAATGGCTGTTTTGAATGAGGGAATAAATGTAGTATCCCTTATGTCCATTGAGAAACTCAGCAAAATGTTTTTCAAGTACCTACTATATGCTGGGCACTGTTCTAATATCTCTAACCTTATCTTATTTAATTAAACATGTTCTTCATAGCCTTAAAAAAAGAAAAAGAAGTAGACTGTAAAGAAATATTATACTAATTTTACTAGCCATTATCTTTGGTGGGATTAGTGATTTTAATTTTTTCACATCTTTCTACAGTAAAGCTGTTATACAATACACTTATATTATGTAATATAATAAACTTAGAGAATAAATTTCTATCACCAATTTATCAACTTCTGCTATTTTTCTTTTCTCTTATTAAAACAAACAGCAAATACATTTGCTAGAAAAGAGAGTGGTGTGTTTTTTAGGTTGACTCTTTAGGAAAGGAGATCAATATGAGGTAGAGAAAATGGGGATAGTTTAGGGGCTTGAGTAAAGCACTTTACATTATTTAAGAAAGAAGGTAAATTAATAAATTGTTAATGTGTTCTATTGAGTTTTCAGAATTTTGGAAGTATAACATTAATGCTGTTCATGGAGGGTATATTAGCACAATAATCAGGAAGATAATTATGTCTGTTATGAAAAGTCAAAGACAGCCAGATTAGAGCAAATACATGGATAACATAATTCCAGAAAAAAAAGAAAAGAAGTATTAACAGAAAGAGGTGTTACTCTTGAAATTGGTTTCAAGCTTGCAGTAGGATTAGAAAGAAAGAAAGCAATTCTCATTAGCCAAGAAACTCAGCTTCCAGCACAGCATCAAAGAGTTTAATATTCTAAGTAGATGCCCAGAGTTGGAAGAAAAACTGAAAATGTCATGCAGAAGGTCTTTGAAAAATTGTCCAAGTATAAACTGTTTTATGTTTCTAATTACTGGGATTTGGATGGAGTTGAAATAAGTAATTATCATGGTGGCTTTCACAGACTTGTGCTTTACAAATAAGGAAAACGCTTATACATAAAAAGCAAATTATAATTGTTTTTCATGTTTTGCAATACATATATTAACTTATTTAAACATTGGTTGAAGCTATTTTTTTGTTCCTTCTTTGTTTACTAAAATTTCCTTATAAAGCATTTATAGCCCTATACAATGAAGGCCTCTCACCACATGATTTTCTATCATGTGGCCTCAACACAACCTTTTAAAAAATTGTATTCACCCAACAATTTTTTTTTTAAGGAAAAATCACATATTCTATTGCAGCCCATAGCAGAGTCCCTGTTTGGTTGCTGGTAGAGGACAGTGTTCAGAGATCTCTCCATGGAGGATAAGATGTTTCATGAGGTGTCAGGTTAATGAAGCTAAGGACTTCTGACCTTGAGACAGATCATCTTGCAGGAGTGCAGGACTGGAGGGAAGGTGGCCCAGTAGGGGTGGCTGCAGTATGTTGGGTCAAGGGTGACAGCAGCCTGTAAGATAAACTCTTGTTTCCTGATCCCATAATATCTGTCAGTCATGTTTAAGAGTGATATTAGTTCATTATCTTCTGGAGGTCAGGTACCATATATTTTTACTCTAATATCTGAAGAGCTGTGTGTCCTAGCCCATGCTTTTGTGGCACGGCCTGATGCTGTCTTATTTCCAGTGCACACAGATTTTCTTTCATTTAGTGTATCTTATGAATTAAATATTTTTATTTCCCTGGTACCTAAGGGGAAAGTAAATGATATTAATTAACTTGTAATACAAAAGGGAAAATGTATTTCTAAATATAAAATATTCAGGAGAAAAAGTCATGAAAAGTTACCCCTTACTTTATATATGTTATCCAGGATATTTTCTTTTCCATTGTTTTGTTGTTGCTAGTACTTGACATTCTGATGACATTGTTACATTAAGGAAAGATTAGGGAAATTAGGGCCTATTGTTAAGTTTAGAGCTGCATTTTATGATCATTAAAGAATGTTGATCTCTACAAAGCATACTAGTACTAATTCTTGAAACAGTAAGGAATCTTCCCTCCCAAGTCTTAAGCAAATTTAGCACAAGGGGAAGAGGATGGTGGGTTGAAGCTGATGAAGAGCCTGCTTTTGAATAGTGAAGAAGGAATAAAAGGTGATATTTTAAATACAGCTGATACATTAAAGGGTATTATTGATGGTCTCCTTTTGAACTCACCACTTTGTATCCCCGTTAAGAAATTTATTATTTCTTTTACCTTGTATTCATTCATTCATTCATTCATTCATTCATTCATTCATTCATTCATTCATTCATTTAAAAGTATTTATCCCCTTACAAGACCATGTTGTATGGAACATGCGTAAGTCTTTGCCCACAGACAGGTTAGAGTATAGTTCTGTTAAATACACATGCTAAATACAACATGTATTATAGTTAGACATGTGTAGGCCTACCTAGTTGCAGCATGTAAATGTCTCACAAGTACTAATTTGGTGCATTGCATACAGTATGCAGTAAATATTTTTTGAAGGAAAGACAGCTGGACAATTGAAAAGATTTCCATCTCGTCTAGAAAAAAAGCAGCAGATAAATTTGTCCTCATTGGAGTAATCATTATTCCTTTGGTTCCGCTTAAGGCTTACTGTACATAAGTTAGCATAATGTAGATGATATCAGATCACCCATAGGAGAGCTTAAAATCTCAGCTAGATGATTTGCCTCACTTTAAGGTGTTAAATCTTGTGTGTGTGTGTGTAAACATCTGGTTCATTTGATTTTTTGGTCAGTAAGATGGAAAAAGACCTATTTAAACAAAAAAATTATTTTTGTTAGTAATTATTGTTACCTGTTATAACCTAGGACTAATTTTGTTTATAGGCGAGTGGCTGAACTGTTTATGTTTGATTTTGAAATCAGTGGAATCCATCTAGACAAAGAAAAGGTAAAACTTTCCTTTCTGTTTTTTGGGTCCTCTTGTTTTACTAATATTTAGTTGGTATCTTTGTTGCTACAGTCCTCAGGTACAGCTTGAATTTACATATTATAAAACTACTTAGGTCATTTATATTATGAAATTCTCCTGTAGATTGTATTTGAGTGTAGTGCTCTCTGGAAGTTGGCCTATCACCCACCATAATTCAGAATTAAAAATCACTTCAGACAGTTGGGGTGTTTTAGATGTCTTGGGATTAGGATGAGATGGGCAGTATCAAGAAAGAGAGGGCCAATGAATGGGAAAGCTGACACCATGGAAGATTAAGATCTGGAGGTAGAAGTACAGGGATATCATTAAGACCTTTACATAGGTGTATTTATTCATATTATAAGTGTCTTTGACAGATCCACACAGTTTTGTTCCTGAAGCAGTATGTATGGGTTGTACAGTGTTTAAGTAGGTATGGGAGAGGCCTTCTATATTGTCCAGATCCCTCATTTTTCAGGCGTGGAAACAAGACAGAGTGTTTTGTTCAAGTTCCCATCCTTAGTTTCCAGGACTTCTAACCCTGGTCACTGCTCCTTCTAGAACATGACATCTTAAGAAACTGAGTCCCTTATTTCAGTATCAAGCTCCAGGCTGGAAGAATGGGGGTTACTTGACTACCATGAAAGACCTGCCTGCAGTCTAGATTACTATAGTTACGCTTTTTTAAAAATGTTTTTCCTAATAAGTATAGTATAAAGCCACTTAACCTATTAATTGAGATTAGCTTATTAGAGTATCTTGGAAAATAGAGGGCTGGGTTTTGGGATATATATCACATAGAATAGATTCTGTCATTTTGATTGGTGCAGGGTTTGAGCAATGCTGAGGACCCTCACACATGACTCCTTGTCTAACCCTGAGCCCAGTATCCCCAGGGCTAATAGGCTATACTGTAAATTCACATTGCTTAGAGTGGAAACATTTTTTCCTCTCCAAGTCAGTTCTTTACTTCTCTGTACTAATGATACCACCATTCACTGAGTCATTCAAATAAAATTTTAGAGTCAGTTTGCATTTTTTTCATTCCCAGTATTCTCATATCTTAGTCAGTGACCAAGTCCCTGGATTATTACTTTGGAGCTTCTGCATCTGGCTGTGTCCCAAAAACAACTTCCAAAAACAACTTATCTTAATCATTATCACTAAATCCCTGGGCTGTCCTAAAGCCCAAGCCCATTGTCTTCCCTGATACTCATTATAATTAACAATTAAATATTTACTACTTAAAACATATATCTCTCATCAGATCTTTATAACAGTTTGAGGCTGGTGCTACTATTGTTCCTGTCTAATAGATGAAGAAACTGAGACACCTAGAGGTTATGTGATTTATACAAGGTCACAGAACTAGTAGGTGGCATATTACATACAGGGTGGGGCAAAAGTAGGTTTACTTTTGTATTATGAAAAATAATACGTAATAATACAAAAATTAATAAATAATACTACAAGAATAAACTGTGTTTACTCACAGCTGTAAACCTACTTTTGCCCCACTCTAGAGCCTATTTTGCTAGGCCTTCCTACAGGTCTTCTGATAGTCGTTCTAACCTGTCTGAACATTGGAGTCATTTCCTTAAAGCATTGACTTGATTGTTATTCTCCTGTCCAGAACTTTCAGTGACTTCCCATTGCCTACTGAAAAAGTATAAATAGCAGTTAACACATGGCATTGCCTTCCCAGCTCTTCCTGTGCCTCAGTGAATTCATGATACCCTGTCCTGCCATTTGTGGTTCTGTGTCATCCTCCTCTGCCTGCTCACCAGGTTTTTCTGCCTGAAATCCCTGTTAAGGCTTCATCTTCAGCCCATGGTGTCTGCAAAGTTTTTATCAGTCTCTGAGGTGGAATTCTGTATTCATCTGAACTCATATTTTACTTATTTCATGCATATGACATTTATCTTTAACTTCTTTTTATTGAAGTTGTTGCTCTTATTATTGCATCTACAGTATAGGCTTCTGAAGGACAGAGAGTATGGATCATATTTTTAATGCATACCAGTTTTGGACTTAATAAAATATTGAATGAATGTATAATGAATCATAATAATGCCAGCTAATATTAATCAACTTTGGTATCTTCAGAAGGAAGGTTGTAGGTGAATAGTTTTAGTATTTTATTTAATCCTCATGAAAGATGTTTTTGAAACTTTATTAAAAAGTTATGTGTCAAGTCAAGGTGAGTTTCACTAGTATTGACCTTGCTTCTTTTATCATATGTTTTTACAAGAATAGCTGCCCTTCCTAGAAATTAACTCCCTGGCAACCCACAAACATTAAAGATGGTAGTAAAGTAAACCTCCTATGTCTCTCTGTTGTAACTTCTACGTCTGTTCTCAAAGGTGCTCCATGAGGACAGATAAAAGGAAGATACATTACACTTTTTAAAAGAAAGATCTTGAAATAAACCTAACAGCATAATCTACAAATGTAATATATATTCTTTCTAAGTTTTTTCTTATTTAATTTGAAAGGTCTCATTGAATATAATTTACAAGTTTGAAATATAAGGGAAGTATATGCTTTTAGCAATTATGTAATAACAATTTCATAGACTTCTTAGAGTTCAGAGTACTGCTCATTTAATTATCACATGATAATGAAATGCCTAGCAGATTGTTGGTGAAGTCAGGAAGTAAACCCAGTTTTTATTTTTCCAGATATTTTAACAGATGACAAGTTCTTTTAAATAAATTTTTTTTTTTTCTCATAGTAAAGGCTTTGGGGAAAATACTTGGAACTACCCCGGGATCTTTCACCTTTTCTGTTATTCTACTTGATACCATTAGGTGGTGCTAACTGGCCATATCAGAAAGTAGACTGAAAGAAATCTGCACTATAAAGATAGCAGGATATCTGAAAAATTATTTTTCACATAAAGTTTGAATTTTCTATATTAAAAATGTTTGGTTATTAATATATACTTAATTTTTTAGCATCTTATCAAGTGTACATCTGCACCTTGTGTATTTAGTTAAAAAAATATTAGTGCTGCTCAGTCATTTTTTAGGGTCATAATGTAGTTTAGAATCTGTTAATAGCTATTGACTCCTTTTCCAGAAAGACTTGCATATGCTCTCACATGATCCCCATCATGAGCCCATTTCCAGATGCCTGTCTAGTTTTCTAGTAACAAATAACTGAAAATTCATCTCTTGTCCTCCAGTAGACTTGAACTATAGTTTATATTTCATTCGAAACATTTGTGTTGCCTCTTTGATAATACACATTTTTTCAGGAGATTGTGTGTCCTAAAGCTGTGACTGCCAGATAAAACTCTCATAGATGTTTCAACACCATCCCCATCATCACTGGTGGCTATCTAAGGTCCAGACGGTAAGGGCCTGACAGTGAGGGCCAGGCACAGAGAGAATATGTGGTCTTATCCTTAGGGGCTCCAGTCTAGTTCTTACCAGTCCACTGCTGTCGTTCTCTAGATGCTCCAGTACATGCAAAATCAGAACTTTTAAAGTGTGTTACACCTTCTGGATGTTCTCTACACTTTTGTGAAGAATTATAATAATTCCTTTCCCCTCACCTTTTAAGTCTAATCTTTTAAAACAGTATATTGTCTCACCTGCATTTCAAATATTTAACTTTTTTAATCTAAAAATACTTTTAAGCATTGTATTGACTAGATTCAACTAAATTCTCCTAACTAAGAGGTCTTCTGGGGGATAAGGAAAGATTCTGTACTTCCTAATGTTAATTTGAAAGATTAGTTGTATAACCTAGACATAAAATAGAACTCTAGAAGTTTTGTAAGTCTTAAAGCATGGAAACACTGTACAACCCATATGGATAGTCTTTTTGTCTGGATATTAAATGTCTGTCAAAAAATAGAGTTAAGATATTATAGTACATTATACATTTAGGACATAAATAATATATTCATTTTATTACTTAACATCTTATTAAATTATAAATCACATTTTTATGTTGATTTGCCATCTTTATAGATTGTCTATTAAATTAGTTATGAAATATTGTTTTAAATGCTTTAAAATAACTTTTACTCCCCTGTCCCCTTCCCCCCCACAAATATAGCGTAAAAGAGCAGTGGACCTGAATGTTAAAATTTTGGATTTGAGTAGTACCTTTCTTATGGGAACCAACTTTCCCAACAAGATTGAGAAGCACCTCTTACCAGAACACATTCACCAGAACTTTGTACTTGCTGGAGATCATGTAATTGTTGATGGTCTACATGCAGAAGCACCAGATGACTTGGTATGTGTATTTAATTTTCTTTATAGTTCAGGTCCCATCTGTGTGCCACTACTGTTTTAACCCCAAGTTCAGTGATAATATAATCCTACCATTAAAAATACTTCAGTGTTACTAAGCCCTAAAAATTTAACTTTGGGATTATTAATTCCATAAATGCTTTGAACAATGAAAAGGGTTTAATTATTCATGTCCTATTAAGAACTCATTTTTAAAGTATGATAAATAATGGCAATGACTGACTAGACTACACAAAATTTTGTTTTCTTTTTTTAATCCTTACCTGGGGACATTTTTTTACTGATTTTAGAGAAGAAGGTAGGGAAGCACTAACTAAAGAGAGAGAGAAAGAGAGAAACATCTATGTGGGAGAGAAACATCAATTGATTATCTCCTGTACATGCCCCGACAAGGAATCAAGCCCATAACCTAGATATGTGCCCTGACAGGTAATCGAACTCACAACCTTTTTGGTGTACAAGACAATGCTCCAACCAACTGAGCCACCTGGCCAGGGCTAGATTAGAGATTTTTAATTCATGTTAGTCTTCACTTCATCTGGTTAAAGGTGCTTTATGCCACATGGAATGGATGCAGAGAACTCTAGTCAAGTATGTTGTATCTCATACTAGTTTATGAGTCCAAAGGCTTTATTTACCTTGTGCAAACCATTATTTTATTTTTAAAGCTACGATCACCTGAAGAATAAAGTGGTGAGAGTTAGCCAATATTATTATTGCATAGAACTTTGTATCATGGTATTTACATCTTTTATCATTTGCTGTTTAAATATAGGTGCGAGAAGCTGCTTATAAAATCTTTCTTTATCCCAATGGTGGTCAGTTGAGATGTTTAGAAGAATTGCTCAGCAACAGAGATCTTCTGGCAAAGTTAGTAGGGTATTCTACATATTCACACAGAGCTCTCCAAGGAACAATAGCTAAAAATCCAGGTAAGACTGTTTATCCAACTTTTAAGGACAAAACAGAATTTTTACGGAACTGAACTTCTGGCCTTAAAAAATTTTTTTGAATTTATTTTGAATTACAGTTGACATACCACATTGTATTAGTTTCAGGTGTACAACAGAGTGATTCAACATTTATATACATTATAAAGTAATCACCACAATAAGTCTAGTAACCATCTGTCACCATACGTAGTTATAATATTATGGACCCTATTCCCTATGCTGTACGTTATATCCCCGTGACTTATTTTATAACTTGAAGTTGTGCTTCTTAATTTTCTTTCCCGCCAACTTCCTACCCCCATCCCCTCTCGCAGCCATCAGTTCTCTGAATCTCTGAGTTTGTTTCTGTTCTGTTTTGTTGTTCTTTTTCTTAGATTCCACATATAAGTGAAATCACACAGTATTGGTCTTTCTCTTTCTGACTTATTTCAGTTAAATTAATCTCTGGTTCATCTGTGTTATCTAAAATGGCAAGATTTAATTCTTTTTTATATTGAGTTATATTCCATTATATATATATATATATATATATACCACAACTTTTTTTCTGTCCATCTGTCGATGGATACCTAGGTTGCTTCCATATCTTGGCTATTATGAACAGTGCTGGTGTGTACATAGGGATGCATATATCTTTTGCATTATGGCTTTTGTTTTCTTCAGATACATACCTAGAAGTGGAATTGTTGGGTCATATGGTAGTTATATTTTTAATTTTTTGAGGAATATCCATCCTATTTTCCATAGTCGCTGCACCACTCTGCATTCCGACCAGCAGAGTGCTAGGGTTCCATTTTCTTCACATCCTCGTCAGCACTTGCTGTTTGTTGATTGATGGTAGCCATTCTGGCAGGTGTGAGATGACATGTCATTGTGGTTTTAACTTTCATTTCCCTGATGATTAGTAATGTTGAGCATCTTTTTATGTATCTGTTTGCTATCTGTATATCTTCTTTGGAGAAATGTCTTTTAAGGTCCACCCATTTATTTATTGGATTTTTTGTTGTTGTGATGTGGGTTGTATGAGTTCTTTATATATTTTAGATATTAACCCCTTATTAGATATATTGTTTGCAAATACCTTCTCCCATTCAGTAAGTTACTTTTTCATCTTGTTGATGATTTTCTTCACTTTTCAAAGCTTTTTAGTTTGATATAGTGTCCCATTTGTTTATTTTTGCTTTTGTTGCCTTTGCCTGAGTAGACATATCCAATAAGATATTGCTAAGACTGATGTCAAGAAGTTTAGTGCCTGTGTTTTCTTCTAGCAGGTTTATGGTTTCAGGTCTTATATTTAATTCTTTAATCCATTTTGAGTTTATTTTTGCATATGGTGTAAGAAAATGGTCTACTTTTTTTTTTTTTTGCATGCATCTGTCCAATTTTCCCAGTACTCTTATTGAAGAGACTGCCTTTACCCTATTATATATCTTTACTTCATTTGTTGTTGATTAATTGACCATATGTAAGTGTGTTTTTGCTTCTGGGCTCTCTATTCTGTTCCATTGATCTACATCTCTGTTTTTCTGCCAGTACCATACTGTTTTGATTACTATAACTTTGTGGTATAGTTTGAAATCAGGGAGCGTAATACCTCTAACATTGTTCATCTTTCTCAAGATTTCTTTGGCAATTCAAGGTCTTTTGTGTGGTTCCATATAAATTTTAGGATTATTTGTTCTAGTTGTGTCAACAGTGCCATAGGTATTTTGATGGGGATTGAATTGAAACTCTAGATTGCTTTGGGTAGTATGAACATTTTAACAATATTAATACCTCTAATCCATGAGCATGGCATAACCTTCTATTTATTGTGTCTTCAATTTCTTTCATCAGTGTCTCTTAGTTTTTAGAATAGAGGTCTTTTATTTTCCTTGGATAAATTTATTCCTAGGCTTTCTTTTTTTTGCAATTGTAAATGGGATTTAAAAAATTTTTTTCTTTGTGCTAGTTTATTATTTGTGTATAGAAACACAACATATTTCTGAATATTAATTTTCTATTCTGCAACTTTACTGAATATATTCATTAGTTCTAATAGTTTTTTTGTGTGTGGGACCTTTAACGTTTTCTATCTATAGTATAATGTCCTCTACATATAGTGACAATTTTACTTCTTCCTTTACAATTTAGGTACCTTTTATTTCTTTTTCATGTGTGATTGCTGTGGCTAAGACTTCCAGTAGTTTTGGGCAAACCTATCTTGTTCCTGATACTAGAGAAAAAGCTTTTAGCTTTTCACCATTGAATATGATGTTAGCTGTGGGCTTGTCAAATATGGCTCTTATTGTGTTGAGGTATATTTTTTCTGTACCAACTTTGTTGAGAGTTTTTATCATAAATGGATGTTGAATATTGTTGAATACTTTTTCTACATCTGTTGAGATGATCATATGTTTTTTATTAATTTTGTTTATATGGTGTATCACATTGATTGACTTACAGATATTGAACCATCCTTGCATCTCTGTAATAATTCCCACTTGATTGTGGTGTATGATCTTTTTAATGTATTGTTGAAATCAGTTTGCTAATATTTAAAGAACTTTTGTATCTATATTCATCAGGGATATTGGCCTGTAAATTTTTTTTAATGTATTTACCTGGTTTTGATATCAAGATATAGTTGGTCTTGTTAAATGAGTTTGGAAGCATACCCTTCTCTTCAATTTTTAGAAATATTTTAAGAAGCATGTGCATTAATTCTTCTTTGAATGTTTGGTAGAATTCACATGTGAAGCCATCTGATCCTGAACTTTTGTTTGTTGGGAGTGTTTTGATTACCAATTCTGTTTCGTTTCTAGTAATTTGTATGCTCAGATTTTCCGTTTATTCCTGACTCAGTCTTGGAAGATTATGTATTTCTAAGAATTCATCCATTTCTTCTAGGTTTTCCTAGTTGTTGATGTATAATTGTTTATAGTATTCTCTTAAAATCCTTTGTGTTTCTCTGGTGTCGATTGTCATTTCTCCTCTTTCATTTCTGCTTTTATTTGTTCCTTCCCCTCCCCCCCTTTTTTTGATGAATCTGGCTTAAAGTTTATCTGTTGTTTTTTATCTGTTCAAAGAACCAGCTCTTAGTTATGTTGATCTTTTAAGTTATTTTATATTAGTCTCTATTTTATTTCTGCTCTGATCTTTATTATTTTTTTCTTTCTACTCACATTGAGCTTTGTTTGTTCCTTTTTTAGGTCCTTTCAGTGTTAAGTTTAGATTGTTTATTTGAGATTTTTCTTGTTTCTTGTGGTAGACTTGTATCACTATGAATTTTCCTCTTAGAACTGCTTTTCCTGTGTTGTAGAGATTTTAGATCATTGTGTTTTCATTTGCATTTGCCTACATTTTTATTTTCTCCTTGATTTCTTCATTAAGCCATTAATTATTTAGTAGCATATTGTTCAGCCTCCACATTTTGTTTTTTTTCCAGTTTTCTTGTAATTAATTTCCTGTTTCATATCATTGTGATTGGAGAAGACACTTGATATGATTTCAGTCTTATAAAATTTACTAAGATTTGTTTTGTGGCCTAACATTGTCTGTCCTGGAAAATGTTCTATACCCACTTGAAAAAAACAAGTGTATTCTTTTTTTGGGTGGAATGTTCTATATAAATATCTATTAAGGTAACCTGATCTAATATGTTGATTAAGGCCGCTGTTTCCTTGTTGATATTCTGTCTGATTGATCTAGTCTTTTATCAAAGTGGGGTGTTAAAGTCCTCTACTATTGTAATACTGTCGATCTCTACCTTTGTGTCTGTTAATATTTGCTTTATATAATTAGGTACTCCTGTTTTGGATGCCTAGATGTTACAAGTGTTATATCTTCTTGTTGGGTTGATCCCTTTATCATATGTAGTTTCCTTCTTTGTCTCTCCTTTTACAGCCTTTGTTTTAAATTCTGCTCTAAGTATCAGTCCTAGCTTTCTTTTTGTTTCCATTGGCATGAAGTATATTTTTTCATCCCTTCACTTCGAGTCTTTGTCTTTTGATCTGAAGTGACTCTTGTAGGCAGCATATGCATAGACACCGTTGTTGTTTTTTATTCTATTCAGTCACCCTATATCTTTTGATTGGAGCATTTAGCCTGTTTACATTTATAGTTATGGATAGGTATGTACCTATTGTCATTTTATTGTTTTCTGATCGTTCTTGTCATTCTATGTTTCTTTCTTCCTTTCTTGTACATTGGTAACTTAGTTTAGTTTTTTTGGGGGGTTCCTTTTTCTTTATTTTTTACACGTATGTATTAAAGGGTTTTTTGGTTTATGGTTACCATAAGATTCACATATAACAAGCTATGTTTATAGCGGTCTGTTTTAAATTGTTGGTCCTTTAAGTTTGCACTTAAAACACTATATTTTTTTTAACATTCCCTGCCATGTTTATGTTTTTGACATCATATTTTATGGTTTTATTTGTGTGTGTGTGTGTCCCTTAATTTGTTACTGTAGTAACATGTTCTTACTTCTTATGTCTTTTACCGTGTATACTATCTCTATAAATTGTTTGATCCATTATGTTTATTAAATGTTTGCCTTTACAAGTGACGTTTTTATTTTTTTGTTTTTGTCCTTTTAACATTTCTTGTGAAGCTCTCTTAGTAGTGATGAACTTCTTTAGCTTTTACTTGTCTAGGAAATTCTTTATCTCTTCTTTATTCTGAATGGTAGTTTGCTGGGTAGAGTATTCTTAAATGTAGATTTTCTACTTTCATTGTGTTGAATATGTGGTGCCATTCTCTTTTGGCAAAGTTTCTGCTGCAAAAGTAACTGATATTCTTATGAGGGAATCCCTTTTTCTAAACTAGCTGCCTTTCTCTTGCTGATTTAAAGATTTTCTTTTTATCTTTAACTTTTTGCATTTTAATTATGTGTCTTGGTATAGACCGCTTTGGGTTTATCTTGTTAAAGATAAGTTTCGTGCATTTCCTATACTTGGATATCTATTTTCTTCACCAGGTTTTAAGTATTTTGTGCC